CAAGGTGACACTGGACCAGGCATACTAATGTAACACTTGATCCAACATTCTAAGGTAATACTGGATTAGACATCTCATGGTAAAGTTAGACCAAACATGTCATGTGGTGTTGGACTAGACATCCAAAGGGTAATGCTGGATCAGGCAAGATGATGGCTGAATGAATAACTGAAGGCATAAAAGGATCAAACATCCAAGGTTGGCTCGTTAGATCATACACCCTAAGGCAATACTGGATTAAACATCAGATGAAGACATTGGACCACACAATCCAAGTTGATGGTACATCCCAAGGTGACACTGGACCAGACATCATTGGTTGTCACTGGACCAGGTATTATAGGGTTACACTGGACCAGGCATCATAGGTTAACACTGAACTAAACATCATAGGGTAACACTGGACCAGACATCATAAGGTGACACTGAACCAGACATCATAGGGTGACACTGGACCAGACATCATAGGGTGACACTGGACCAGACATCATAGGGTGACACTGGACCAGACATCATAGGGTGACACTGGACCAGACATTATAGGGTGACACTGGACCAGACATCATAGGGTGACACTGGACCAGACATCATAGGGTGACACTGGACCAGACATCATAGGGTGACGCTGGACCAGACATCATAGGGTGACACTGGACCAGACATCATAGGGTGACACTGGACCAGACATCCCAACACAAGTCAAAGACTGCAATTTTCTTGTGCTAAATACGGAAGACAGATCATACAATAGCTTATCATTAAGTTCATGAAACAAAATATTTGAAAGCTAAAATTATAACTAATGTTTTTGATTAACTTGCTAGCAGTTTACTTCATATTATAAAGCATCTATTAAAAACTTGAAAGAACTATGGGAAAATTTTACACAATACCAGGAGCGTTGTTGGAGGATACACTAACTCTGCACTATGATGCTCAACACACGATAAGCAAATTAAAAGGAGAAATACATTTCTAGTGGAGCCATTGTCACTTAAGGGTTTTGAAACATTTCCAGTATTAGCACCAATAAAATTGCGTCACACTGAGATCACCATATTTACGCTATAGGAGGTCAGGTGCCACTTCTGCCGTCTTGGCCAGGTCAACTACAGATAGACATCAAATAAAAGTGCAATGAGCTCTATAATGCTGAAAAAAATGTCATGCATTGCCTACAAAAATTTTCTTCTTCAATTTAATTGTAAGAAAAAATAAAGGGGGCATAGAAAATAAGAAAACATCTAAGGATGGATGAATATGATGACCTTTAAGTTGAAATGTGGTTAAAATACGGCTACTTTTGATGGTAGAAGATGTGCAAGTACAGCATCACCAATTAATTCGCAATACTAATAACAAATCAAAAGAGCAACAATAGGAAAGGCTACACTAGGAAAGAACGACTAATAACAACATCTCTAGTATAGGAACTTTACAACAAAAATATTACAGTTGACAAACATATATTTTAGTGACACAATGAAGCTAAAAAAGCTTCTCAGCTATTGTATGTCTTAGTAATCCGTCTAAGATCACCTATGAAGATAAATAAGAGTAATTAACCTGGCCATTACTAACCAAAACATGAAATCTTTTGAGGTACAATGTGAGTGATACGTTACATGCAAGCAAAGTTTTTTTTTTAAACTATGAATGATAGCATAATCAAACGAGCATTAAGGAAGCTTAAGGATGATATATTGTATATGCCTATGGTTCTACATCATTGCCTGAATAATGTTAAAGGTGGCTAGTCGACAAACAGCCCAAACCCGCTTGTTGGAAAATACATCCAACCCAGCCTCAAGAATTACCTGCTGACCACCATAACGCTCGCTAGTGATATAATTGTCATTATTTATTGATTCTTGAACAGACACAAAATATCTGGAGTTCATGTCGAAACTTTAGTTGTAGGAAGACAAATTTTGATGCTAGTGTGGTGATCTTAAGACAATTTCTTGAAATCTGGCTTTTTCTCTACACGGGCGACTACAAGCCAATCAAATGCTGCCAAAGCCCAGGCAACTTAACTGGTGGGGGAGAGCATGTATCTTTACAAGAAACTGCTACCAAAAACCTTGCAATAGCTGTGACTAGAATTGTAAGAGTTGGGGAAAACATGTTCGCCATATTTACTGAACTACCATGTCAGCAAGATCTTGTGAACTCAAAGCTGAGTCTCTTTCATAATCACTCATAGCAAACTGAAGCTTATTGCACTTCTATGTATAAAACTCCTTCAAAACCGCTTATAAAATCCAAACACTCTTTTCTTTCAACTGGAAGGGATCTTTATTGGCATTGTGAGTTCACGAAACATTGCCACGGTAGCTTTGAAAACAAATAAAAATAATTAAGAAAAAAATTAGAGGTGGACAGGTTTACTCTCCTCCAGCAGCACTGTGCCATCACACTACAAGCAACCTAAAGGTCCATCTGCCCCGAAAATAATTGTTTGGGGTCAAGTATGGTTGATAGGCATCTTCTGGTTAATGAAATTATAAAGATTTGCCTTATTACTGAATGACAAATACTGTTTGGTGAGGAATGTGGAGCAGAGATGCAAAATTAAGGGCAGATGTTTACCAAGTGACATACTGTATTACCTAAATGGAATGCTTGCCTATGCAACCTAAAGGAGACTCAGCATGACAGCTGTAATTTTAGAGGTTACACTGACAAATGGAAAATTATCTGAAAACATGAAATTAAGTGTATAAAACTCTAGGGCAAACAGGAAGCTAATGTGAAATAAATAAATAGGAGAGCCTTATACGACATTATAAGACAATACCATAGAAAGGGTAAATTTTATCAATACAATGAATATTTTAGGTTAAAAAATATGTGGGATGATACCTATATAGATAAGAATATTTTGAAAACTAAAATGAAAGAGGAAGCAATAATGCCATGCAATTATTCGGGGCAGCTGGACAATAATTTTGTCCTGGAAATGGATAGGACAGTGAGCATTACATAACTAGTCAGCACCAACTTCTTGTTAAAATACCTTAATTGGTACAGTGTTACGGGTAATGGAAGTGATTTAATGTATCAAGCTATAACTAATTACATTATGTACACTACTGATAAAATGTCAAGTATTCAAGCTAGTTTTCCACTTTCACATGTGAAGCCACTAGAAATCTAACTTCATACTGTATTTTATTGAAGTTTTCACACAGTTTATTTTACTGCTCACTGTGCAAACCCATTCAGAAACTACAAAAATGCGACATCGAATAATGCAATATTAAGAGGTATGAGAGGCAGTCATTAGAGGAGGAAGTGAACAAGTCCAGCAATAATAGGAAGATGAACAAGGTCCAGCAACTAGTGGCTCAAACTCGTTATACCTCCTAGAAGAGCTGGGCTGCACTGCCTTCCTCACTGGGCAGTGATAAGATATATCAGAGGCAGACACTGATTCATAACACCTCATGATAACACAGTTAACTCTTTAATATATTTAATGATCGGAGCCTTACCACCCTAATGCTAGCACTGCCCAGTCAAATCTCGTAAATTCAAAACTATAAGCAATAGTAAAACCCTAGTATTGTCAGCTACTGCGACATAAATACTGTGGCTAATCCGTGCTAAGATCAAATAAATGAAGAAAAAACGGCACGCCTCCTTCCTTATACATCAATTGCTTTTAATACGTTTCATGACAAAAAAAAAGGCAGTTGCTGGTTTTAGGATTATGAGTCCAATGTTTGCCAAGAACTTATTTCCTAGCTTGATATTTTACATTCTGGGAAAATGTGAAAAAAAAACCGGTGTTCTATCTGCAATCCTAACATCGCAAATGTTATCCTTTAATTCCCCTCTTAGCAAACTTGTCAACACTAAAGGCAGAGATACATAAAAATGCTTCATCTGTGACTTGCTCATTGAAGGTGTCGTATGTACACTGTTCGAGCAGTAGGGAGGACTCGCAAATATTTGAAATAACAATTTCGAGACGGCGTATAGACATTTACAGTATATATTTCTCAGAGAAAGTTTCAAGAGGTGGAGCTTATGAGGAAGGAATTTACAAGATTTGACTAAAGTTATTAAATCCCAGTGTTGTGTAGCAGTTCAGTGTTGAAGTCTGCAGACTTAAATTGGGATGTATCTTAAATTTAGACATTTGTTTTACAAATATCAAATGATACGAAAATGCCCGATTTATATGTACAAAAAACTATTACTGATAATTTATGGCAGTACTTGAAGTGCAGCCATGTATTGAGTTACCGTGTGGCTAGTATAATGACAACAAGGTGGCCGGCATGGTATATGCAATAGCCTATAAAAGCATACTGTATGTATTTAGTGAAACATTTTTGTTATTTTTGATTGTTCTATGTTATGTTAATTAGATTTGCCCTTTCAATATGTTTTTCCTAGCAACATTAGCACTTTTGATATCAGCAAAAATGGTGGTAGGCAATGAATTAACATGGCAGTTCTGACACACAAACCAGCATCAAAGTACTATTATTATTGTATTGGCATTAATATTAAACGCTATCAATAAGTTGTATGGCAGTGAATAAGGCATTTTGCCTGAAATTTTTGAACTAGAGTAACTAAGCCATATTTGAATAATATGATGGTAAAGTGTTAGGGTGTTGAGCAAAGGCAGGCTGCAGGCGAGGGGGTGCGAAACCCAAGGGTGTTGGCCTGAGCTGCCACCGCTGATGCGCATGAGACCCTGATGGACAGCCTGCAGCACCTAAGTCTGCTGGCTCTCTACCAGATACACTCATACAACCACAGCAAGATTTAGAGGGTGGTGTGGCTCAACAGCAGTTGCAGGGTTGCTCATGAATGTGGCAGACAGACTGACGCTGCTGCGGCTGTCGCTGCTGTTGCTGTTCCTGCAACTGCTGCTGCTGCAACTGATGTTGCTGTAATTGCTGTTGTTGCAACTGTTGCTGTTGTTGTTGCAACTGTTGCTGCTGTTGATACTGTTGCTGCTGTAATTGTTGTTCGTGCACCTGTTGCCCTGGTTGGTGATGGTGCACGTGGTGTTGCTGATGATGCAGTTGGTGTCGACTTGCCTGGATGCGGCCGCCCTCCTCATGCAGCGAGCAGCAGTGGAAGTCACACTCGGCCTGGTCGCCGGTGGGGGAGGCTCGGGTGCGGGGCTGCGGGGTGTGTGGGTGCCCGTACATACAGCACTCTGGAGTGTGGACGTGCACAGTGGCTGAATGTGACGAGTCCACGGATGACCCCTGGCGAGAAAGGCGCCCCACCACCGCCGCCGTCGCCCCAGGCCCGGTGCCCATGTAGGAACTCTTGATCTCGCTGTCGTGGTTTATCACAGTACCCTGCAATGTACCGGATACGTATCAATATACTTGGCAGTATACCACGCTTTCCTATGATGTCCTGCAAATCACCGCCTGTTGATCACAAGACCCAACTTTATACCATAAGCATAGCATCACTACCTGCAAGATAACAAATCACCATCACCTACAAAACAAGACAAAACTCTTGAGCAAGTGCAACATAACACATCACCATCATCTGCAATATAGCAATTCACCATAAACTGATACATAAGACATCAGAAGCATCTGAAAAGTAAAAGATCACCAACTGCCGACACATCACCATCACCTTCGACATGACACCATCAATCGCGACAAAGGACGTCACCATCAACTGCAATATATATATATATATATATATATATATATATATATATATATATATATATATATATATATATATATATATATATATATATATATATATATATATATATATATATATATATATATATATAATATATATATATATATATATATATATATATATATATATATATATATATATATATATATATATATACGGTCATTGCCACACAGCCAGATGAACAGCCGGATAGAAGGCTCTCACTTTGCTCAAGAGTTCTCTGTGATGGAAAGTATTTTGTGTTTTTTGTTCACCTGTGTTAGCAAAAGCTATTTCTTCACTCATCTCACCATTATACAATTTCTTTGAAATAGAAGTTGATATACTTTTGCTTTATTTGAAAAAAATATAAATTATACATTCTAATTATAATTTAATCACAAGGTGTTTAATGGTTCACAGGTTTATATTTAGATGAAAAACTTGTGTTTTTAAGTTTCTGGCTTATTTAAATGGTGGATACAAAATATATTATTTACGGTAACAAGCGTCCTGGTGGTTATTTGCTCAGATTTGTTAGTACAAAGTTAGTTACGTTATTTTAAGTACACTATTTGTTTGACTAGAATAAGAGCACTGTAACTGACTCTGTCGGTGAGACATCTCATAGCAGCCCTGAAATATGAAGCAATAGGTAGAGAGAAGATCTCATCCTCTTTGCTTACCAGAGACTCTTTATGTAAAGGTCATAAGTCAGATACTTTGCAGATGTCTAATAATATAAATGACAAACTAGAATTAATGACAAAACAAATTTCTCAATTAATTTAACTCAATAATTTATGAGGGACAAGTATTAATAATGATAAAAATATCTTGCAAATCAAAATTAATAAACAGGGTTGAATAGTAAATTGCAAGTGTTTTAGTGAGCTTTGCACAGTATCTTGTAGTCTTAATTGACCCATAAAATTTAGCAATACAGAAACCATAATGTTTTAATCTATGATTTGGTCTGTATGTTCAATATCCTCCTGCTTTAGGCACCTTGACAAGCTGTTTGAAATCTATTTAGCATGTCTTCCTGCCTTCAGCACTGAGTAGCATAGCAGTCAGATTCTGAACACTTGTCAATAACGTTTGCAACATCAACAGAATAATTCCGGATATTAGTTGGGCCATCAATAAAGGAAATAAATGACACTCGCTTGCACAAAGAAATATGAATGGGGAAAAACACATGAGGGATGACTCAACAAGATGCATAAGAGGAATAAAGGAATTAAATAAACAGGTAGAAATAAGCAGTAAATTATAAGTCAACACAAAAAGAGACAGATCAATAAAAATAAATGTCTGATATTTACTGGAGAAATGTGGATTTAGATAATAAACAGAACAAGAGTTAAAAAATATACAGCATCACATCAAGTGGTTATGCACGGTGAGGTGGCCATACAACACTGGTATAAAGGGTATACAGTCTATCTCTTTATCATTGTACAAAACTGGTTCCATGGAACCTGAAGGCAATCTGGTCAACCCTGCATGATTTTATTAATTAAAATCTAAAATGTTCACTGACTAGTAAACTAGTTTTAGTACGGAAACTTAGTGAAAGGCTTAAATCTGTTGAAGAAAAAATCTTTTAACTTTGCTCAAAAAGATATGATTTAATTTCAGCAAATATCCAATGTATTCATCATTTATTATCTGTCTCTAAGTTTTTCAGACATGCAGGTAATAATACTTTACATTACTCTTCAGTGAGACTCTAGACTTTGTTTTGGAGAGGTGAGATAGTGAAAACATGGTTTTGTTTCTTTAAACAATAATATCTTAGTACCTCTACTTCCATCACAATCTTCTGAACAGCATTCTAGCTAACCTAATGTTCACCTATTACTACTACTTTGTCTGGTAAGACGACAAGAGACAATCCAGCCACCTATATGAGTTATGACGTTGTATCACTGGACTTAGGTATCTTCCTCAGCAAACATCATTTATAATGGGTGTGGATAACCCAGTCTGTATTTCCTCCTTCGTCACGAGAAAACAAAACTGTTCAGTTGCAGGGTTAGTCTTGTGTCTAAGATGATGAACTATTACCGAGTAGTTTACCATCTTTCTTCCATTCCACTGAGGATAGTTTCTTGAAAAAGCTGAATGGAATGTTGACTCAAACACATATCTTCATATCGGTAGAACTTGGTCACCACATAGTCTCTTGAAGCTGGTATCTCGTGGCCGTCTTCATGTTAGTGACCACAGAGTATCATCCTATGTTTGTTTACAAGAAGGCTGGAAGTTTGTTGTCAAGTTGAATTCTTTCAGATGATGCCACAGATTCAGAACTGATCAATTTCCTAAATTTATGAACGAAGTCATAAAAAACTAACAATCTCTGCCTTTCCATAAACTGATCAAAGGTTAATACAAACATATATAGTGATAAATGACTTTGAATTGCTTTCCACTTTAAATACAAGCTTACATCTATAACGCCCGCCAGTAACGCTTACAAACACTCCATTTATTGTTTTTAAATCTGATAATAAGAGTAAAAAAAATACTATGAAAAATCTTCCAATAAATTTAAATATTTTCTTTCATAATAAATAGAAAAAAATATCAATTGTACAGCCATTCAAGATTCCTAAATTGTAAAAAATAATGTCCCGAAAAAATATATTTATTGTCTTATTCATAATACTATTTACTGTATACAAGATAAGGTTATTAATTATCACAGACATTCTCGGGTCACCAAGTTCTTTCCTCCTGCTTATAACTATCACACTGAATACCTGTAGAATTAAGTACTATTACCCTCATCAGAACGAATGTATACCTGCATCTCTTCGTTACATATCTAGTTTTTAAAACACACAAACCATATTCCAATTAGCCATCAATCTTTACAAAACATCTCTTGTAGCCACTTCAGACAAACTTCAGCTGACATGACTCACGTTAGATAAAGAGCTAACAGGAGTCGCAACAGTGATGACTATAAACTTAGTCAAAATGCTGAGGGACATTGCTAGATAATACCGAGCAATTTCACATGTTGCGGTGTAGTGTACATGTTACATAATGTGCCTAGTTCTTAGTAATTCTTTATGCACTCCACTATTATTGTATACACAATAATGCATCATGCTGATACTTCTGCCAATTGTTACGTTTTAAATGCAGGAAAGTGGCTTTCTTACCGTAGAACTCGGATACCTTCACACTGGTTACTCACCCAAGAGATTATGGTGTATCACTACGTAGAATTTTGCTCTGCTTCCGGCATTCAATGCGTTATGTACTTGATAAATGATGATTTAATGAATTCCACTAACTTCCAACATCCATCTAAGTTATTGGTTATACTCTGTCATAACCAATCAGTCATTACCCTTGGTAATAATAATAATAGAGGGATCACAGATACGGGCAGATAATTGCACTTACGTTTATTTGGCACAATTCCATACACTGGACTTATAATTTGCATGGATAGGTCAGTCACTCACATTCACGCCAGAGTACCGTAAGTTATAAGGGAGAGTTTGTCAACCTGGTGAATTAATCGTTTAGATCTATTAGGCCGGCCTGGAGTGCTCTTGTAGCAAACAGGTCCTCACCATTGATCACTTCCTTTACAGGATGTGTTAACTTGTCGCTGGACTTAACAAAAATCTCGGGGATTTGCACACACAGACCCGTAGCACTGGTAGGACTGTATGGCCCCTGATCTTAAGTCCGCGGAGCAGGAGGTCTTCTCTAACCCAAGGTCTAAAGCCCACTGGCTAAATTGGCTTTTTTTTGAGGCGTGAAATGATGAACAGTACACCACTGTCTCACTGACCTGCCCCCCCCCCCTACATGTCCCAGTTATGGCTGGCCGGTTACCTTATCTCTACCGTAAACAAACATTTGGGATGGGTTGTGCGGGAGGCCCAACGCAACCCATGACAATCGCCCCTACTAAGAAAAATTTTTCTCTTGGAGAATAAATTTTCACCACCTGTATACAATCAAGAGAATGCCTAGCCCAGACACACAATTCGACATTCACACTGTGGTGTGTGTGTAACACTAACACTGCAACGGAATGTAGTCGCCAATCGCCACTGAGGGAAAACCTCAACATTTACTTTTTTTTTTTTTGGCTGGAGGAAAACTCCGCGGCGAGGGTGACAATTCCCGAGCAATAGTTCATGCTAAGCGTAAGCACGCTACATTTACATTAGAGCAACATGTTGTGTGGTGTAGGGTATGTAGACATTGTTTAGGTGGCACAGGTGTTGTGTTATGTTCTCAAGTGTAGAAAGGTGTGAGAAAATTATACATAACATATGACGAGTCGCCAGACGCTTGGAGGCTCGAGTCGACTGGAGTCTAGACCAACTCCACACTCATTTGGGAAGGTGACCTCTCAATCAGTTGCTCTGGTTCCCCCACAAGTCGAGATAGGAGGTCAGCCCCCACATTCAGGCTGCCCTTGATGTACCGGAGGACGAAGTTGAACTGCTGGAGATACAGTACCCACCGCATCAGACGAGCATTTGCATTCTTAGATGGTCGGAGACTGGTGAGCGGCATGTGGTCTGTCTCCAACACAAACTCACCTCCGTAGAGATAGTAGTAGTACTTCTTTTGATGCCTTCCACCACTGCCAGAAGTTCCTTCT